AGATTGACAGTGCCCGCATGCTTGACAGTGAATAGAGCCGACTTTCTATTTCATGTTCTGAATCCGTGACGATTTTTCTGTATTGATGAATATTCTTTTGTAATACATAATCGTTTCAGATCGTGCGAGCACTTTACTTACTATGCGAGAAGTCAATAACACCGTGTAATGATGATTAAAGTATTTTTAATTCTGAAACGTTTGCAAATGTGTGAACATTTAAACACACAGTGCGAATGGATACTATTCTTGTATTGTAATTACTCTCTTAATTCTTGTTAAACGACATGAAATAAGAAACAATATTTTAAATTGTCTATGAAACCTACAACGTACCTATAAATTTTTAAGTGAAAACTTATTAGTCGCGTTGGCCATTTTTGAGAAGAGTTTTAGAACAGCATTAGCTTTTTTTACCTATAATTTCTTTTAAAGAGAAAACTTTTTATGAGCGTTGGGCATTTTATAAACCGACGGAAAAAAACGAAGGAGGTTATCAAGTCGACGCGTATTTTTTTTATAAAATCACGCATAGCTTTTTACTGAATAGTCATAAAATAGTTTGATAATTCTGTTTTTTTTGGAAAGTGTATACTCCAAAGTTAGTCCCGTATAAATTTAGAAAAAAAACTTAATTTTTAGGGTAGCTCCCCTACAAAAAAAATTTTTTTCACCTTCTAGCCCATAAAAATACCTACAAAAAAAATTTTTTTCACCTTCTAGCCCATAAAAACTTTTCAGCACAAAAAACCGCCGAATGTCAAATTAATATTTCGAGTCGGTGCCATGCCAAGAGCGGTTTCATTTTTTTGCTTAAAAGTTTTTTGAGTTGAGTTTTTAACGTTAGCTATTTTGTTTTAAAATTTGGCTTTTTACTTCTGTCGGCACACCTGGAGTGCCACCTACCCCCAGCAATTTTTTTTACCATTATAAATTGCGGTTAACAATGTTTTTAGGTTTGAATTATATTCTTATCACACTAATTCGATGTGTATTGTTGATCATAATATTACTATCAATATTTGAAGCTTATATTATTTAAGTGGAATATAATTATTAAAGGTGATACAGAGTGACTATGTAGTATGTATATTAATTTAACTGTATAATATATTTTTTGAATTAAAAAAAACTGAGAATATGGTAAAAAATCTAGTGTGTTTTAATAAATGAGTCCTACTGTAGGTATATCCAGAACACTATAGAGCAATCATTATAAATTTAAACTTAAAACAGTTTTTACGGGTGTATATGTACTAAATTTATTTATTTATTTTCGCATCCTTTTCAGGAATGCATCATCAGAATAATGCGTCGGAATAATTTAATGAGTGATGTGCGTGAAAACCTAAGAAACAAATAAACTAAAACATGTTAAATTCAACTTTTAGCAATATCAACTGGTTATTTGCATTACGCGAATGAATGCATACCTGACACTGCCACCCTGCAGCCACCCGAATCGCACAGCGCACCCCTCGCAATCACGCCATTGTTGTCTGCTAGGTGCCGCTAGTTTGTTTAAAAACGGAGAAAACTCTCCATGTGTGTCAACGTTCCGAATAAAATATTCCTTCTCTTTGTTCACTGTTGTTGTTCCTGTGCAACTGGTAAGAGTATTGTTTGCAGAGAAAACAATGAAGATGTTTTTATCATTAGCTAGGTATTTGCGAAGACTTGAAAACCTATTTGCTGGGTACCATTGTGTTTTGAGAATATTTTTATTTTTAGCGTAGGTAATCATTATTCTGCATGGTCATTTCATAAGTATGGCCATTAATTTTGCCTGATAACGCTTCTTGTGTAATTATTCTCTCATCTCATTGTGAAAATGAAAAGTAATTGCAATTAGTTTAGACATGTGTAATTATGAAAAATAAGAAAGTTCTTTATGTTTGCCATTTAATTCATTTTGTAATTTAATCACGAAGAATAAGTAGCTGAAAGGCCCTCTACGCAAGTGTCAATGCAGTGATAATCAAATTTTATGATGTTTTACGAGTATGTCGCTAATACATTGTTGTAATATCAATTACATATATTACAAGATAGTAAGGGATTAGAGTAACACCTATGATGTTGCTTTATCTATTACTAGCGACCCGACCCATATTCCTACGGTAAATAACTTATAAAAATATTTAGTTTTTATTTAAGATATTTATAATAAGATTTTCGATCAATTCATCGCTAAACTGCGATAGACCGAATAAATGTTTCACATTTCACTAGTACTCTGTCTTGACCCCGGGCTTCGCGAACTTGATATAATGTGACCGTAAGTGAACTAGTGTTAGACGACCTCCGTGGCCGAGTGGTTCGTATGCCCGGGTTTCATGGTGTCGCCGACTCGAGAGGTCCCGGGTTCGAATCCCGGTGGGGGCAGATGTTAGTGTGATGAATACGAGCATTTGTACTCCAGTCATGTATGTTTATATAAATATACTTATATACATATATAAGTATATTTACATAGAAATACATATACTGTACATACAGTATATGTATTCTATCCGTTACCCTAGCATCCCATAACACAAGCCTTACAGTGCTTACTTTGGGGCTAGGCTAATTGGTGAGAGTGTTGGAAATATATATTATTTAGAAAAAATGTCCTTAGTTTTAGTCCATAGATACCTTACGTATCTTCTATAGATTGTATGAGAAATTAAAACTCGGCGTATTATACATTATAGGAACGCGCCACCCCGGCATTTTAAATCTGTAATATCTTCGAAAATATTCATTTAAATTATATGCTGTAAAGCGCCATATTGATCTTTATAAAATGCACAATGTATTGAAGGTACTTAATTCGATAAGAATTAATGCTGTATTGCTTGAAATCGCTAAGTAAATAAGCCATTATTTCTCGTGAAAAATAAAGGATATAAAAAGGCTATTGTGAGTTATCCCTAAGTGTACTCTATTACATTATTTTGATCTATCTCGTAGGGTTGAGCTAGCGTTTGCAATGTAAGCGCGAAAAATGAGTTTATTTACGACATCACATTAGAAACCTCTAAAATTATCAGTGTTTCTCTACTCTATTATGCATGTACTATACATACAAACCTTCCTCTTGAAATCACTATTTAAAAAAACGCATTAAAATCCGTTGTGTTTCTAAAGATCAAAGCATACATAGGGACAGACAGCGGAAAGCTACTTCGTTTTATTCTATGTAGTGATAAAAACTGAGATGTACCCTTAGATTAGTGGTCTCACTTTGTCGACCGCATGGTCACCAATAATTTATCTAAGGATATTATGAATATATTATTTATGTGTAGTTACGTACCTTACTAACTACATGAGATCATAATTATGTCACATTCATAATATTGATGAACTAATTCAGTGCATTGGTAGCGTTTAATATTACGAGTTTTTTTTTGTTATCCCCAATCTTATATTCATACACAGTTTGAATATGCACCAAGAATTTAGAGTTGAATGAGAATTTTAAATATCGTATAAACAAAAACAGTGAAAACAGTTCAATAAACGTGGGTGTTTCATACAAAATACTGATTTAGGTACAACGTTTACAAAATATTCATCCTATAAACGGCGCTCATTTTATAAAACATCTTACCGGAATTATCTTTTATCCGTTAATTAAATTACGTAAATCTTTAAACTACTTTAATTTTAATGAATTTATAGATATATTTGTTAAGGTGCATAATTGCACAATTATTGAGTTAACGTGGAGACACTTTAAAAAATATGTTTGAAAATATTTTTTTTACGGTAACTATAACCGAAATCTTTGTCCGAATTCGCCAGGAAATTTTATCAGGTGACTTAAATTTCACGGTTTATAAGCGATAAATTGAACATAAATTTAATCTAAAAACACTTCTCCTGGGTGTTTTTTTTTTTATTAATATAATAATTACAGACTAATATAAACATAATAATAATATCTATCGGTCTATACATCAGGATTGTTCATTTCATAGCATTCGCAGAATAAGATGCTAGAAACATTATAATGCGTTTCCGTTAGAAATGAAAGGTTAATTTCTAGCGATTGGCTTGCAACGTAAATTGATGTTTGCAATTGCAACCAGCAATTACGTTTCTTGGGTGAAAATCTACTTTCCTTCATTGACGACTGACTTACAAACGCAAGAACTTTTCTCCTTATAATTGAGGTTTTCTTCAACGGCCAAATAAGCTAGTGAAACAGTATGTATTGTATGAAATCGCTTAAAAATCTTGCTAGTTTGTCGTTGCCTCTTCGTGTTAAGAATTTAACCCAAAGATTTCGTTTTCGGGTTAAATAGTATTTACACAGAATTTACTCTTAACTCTGGGCACTGCAATACGAACTATTTATTTTAACTCAGGTAAGCATTAAACAGGAAGTTAAATGAATTAACTTTGGACTGCACATCTGGCCCTTAGGGTAATTTTGAATATAGGGTAAGGAACAGCGGATTTCCTGCTTGAATAGCAGCACCAATCTAGGAAAGTAATCGTAAAGAAGATCAAAATGGAATAATACTTCCTTTTGGGTGTGTTATATTCCTTCAGATTTTTTTAAAGGGCGTATGCTGCTGGTTGCATATATTACTTATAGCGCCTGGTGTTTTAACAGATAAAGCTTTTAGGGCTCCGGGCAAATAGGATCTTCACAACTTGACTCTATTTATACTTAACGTCAGATGAAGGGGGACATATATATATACTTCATCTTGTATAAAACCATATTGTTTCATAACTACATCTCAATGAAGCTATATTTACATTGATTATGTTAAAGTCCGTTAAAAGCCAATAATTTTTATTTTGAAACCTTGTTATGCTAAGTTTTTGTTGTCTGTTAAATAAGTTTAGCTACTAATTTTTCGTCTTTTGACCAAAATTATTAATTTGGCCTTGATATGTAAGAAGCTTTTAATCTACCATTATTATAATACTTATACGTTATATATTTAAATTATCATAAAACGTATACATTTTATATTTAAATATGAAAAGGTACTTACACATTGTCAGTAACGTCAATTGACTCGTCTAATTCACCAATGGTGTCGAGAGATGCCCCGGAACCATCTTCTCGTGTTTCAACCGGAGGGATTGCAGCTACCGGCGGAGGCGGAGGGGGTGCCGTTGTAGGCCGAGGCAAAGAGGCATCATTACACTCTTTAAATTGAGGTTTGGGTACGAAGTCAATCAGACGAGGCAGAGCTTCTGGAATATTATTATTATCTTCGATTTTCTCAATATTTTTGCAATTCATTTCAGCTTCGGAACGCTGAAGCCAAGTCTCAATACATGTTTTCTTTGTCGGAGTCAACAATGGCTCTGGCACCGGGGGAGGCGGTATTTCCGGTGCAGGTATAGTTCTAATTTTTTTCTCGCTAACTGTTCTTTCCTGTTTAGCATTCCTAGGCATAGGCTTAGGCTTCTCGGTTTGTGACTCTATTTTATTTTCTGACAACTTCTTTACTTGAGCTAATCTGTTCAAGTCTAGTGTAGCGCCATTTTGAACAATAGTATTATTGTTATTTTTATCGTTAAGTGGCAATTTTTTAAGCGGCTGAGTTACTTCATCATTAATTAAAGGCGTTTCACGAGTTTGGAATCCATTTGTGTTCACACTTTTTTCTATTCCTCCTGTCTCGTTTAATTCTACTTGTCTATCTAAATATTTATTACTAGTAATGTCCTTCAAAATATTTGAGTCAATATTTTCTATGCAATTTAACACTCTTTGTATATCAATTGTTTTCGGTTGCATTATGGGTGTAGACGGTATACTATTTTCCACGGAACTAGTCATGGAGCCCAAACGGTCAACTACAGTTGATATTGAACTACCGGTATCATCAGATTCGGCATCTGCCATCAAAAGGCATCGTTCCCATTCTGAAGATAACAAATCTATGTAAACCTCTGCTTCTGGAGGCATTGCTTTACCATCGGATAATCGACGCACTAGTCGTCTCACTTCCTCAGGGGAGCCTTTCTTTAAATACGCTATTCCTTCCTTTGTTTGTCTATGCAGATGACTATCAAATGAAGACTTCCGGGATAACTTTGTGATTGTTGTTATTCCATTATGTTGACCATTCAAAATAATATCTTTTTCGTCACTATTAATAGCATTTTGTTCACCAACAGTTTGAAGTGTAGATTTGTCTTTAAATGAATTCTTTTTACCGAGTTTACGTGGTGGTACCGGTGGCGGTAATGTTGTAGGTCTTACAATATCTGCCGTATGCTTTGTATTTGAAGACGCATCTGGGGAATCCGTATTAGTCATTTCTTTTTGTGTTTCAGACTCAAAATGACGCACCAATAGCGTAAGAGATTCATCTGAGTCCTTCAATCGCCGCACACAGTCTATCCTAGTTAATTCGGAAACCGACACTCCATCAATGGCTAATATTTCATCACCTGGTATTAATTTACCCCAGGGTGTGATAGCATTTGCAGCAGGACTATTCTCTGCGCATGATTGTACCAGAAGTCTTCTTACTTTTTCCGCAGCCGCAGAGCCACCTTCGAATTTTAAACCTAGACCAAGCCGTTCGCCACGCGACCTTCGCACTTTCACCTCTGCGGCACCGGCTGCAGCACCCACAGTAAGAACTGTCACAAAGTTATTTTCCCGGACCACAGGTCGGCCCTCACCGACCGGAACTATGGTGACAAAGTCCTCCACTGCCACGTCCGTCGCCATTCCGCGTGTAACGCGCGCCCGCGCACTTTCTGTGTACTCCGATTCACTTTTCGGCTCGTATCTGTAGACAAAACAAAAAATCATCAAATTGTGTAACAAAAATGCAATAATGGTTAAGGTCGCGCACGCACAGGCGGCACGCGGGGCTTGCGCACGGCCACTCTCTTTTACCGTCTCAGTGCGCTTAAACATTTCAAAGATGAGCAATAGGAAATGATGCTCTCCGTTATAATACAATGACTTAGGTCATATTTCTCTATGCCCACACAATTATTGAAAGAAGACATCACTGGAACTGAAAAAGTTACTGATAACATTACTTTTAGTTCATGTTTCCAGATATTTAGGTAAAGCTGTTATTAAAATTATTAATAAACGTCGAAGAGCCATGACTGTCGCTTTTTGCAAGTTGATAGCCGAACACCTACATCCTACTTACGGTCATTGAGAACTTTCGTTGATCAATATGAAAGTATAACAAGCGTGTTTGGGAACGCGTTGACCACAAACAGTCGCATCATGACATGAGCGGGATGTAGGTTAGTAGCACCAGAGGCGTCTCGCCATCGCGGCCGACACCAGTGCAGGCGCAGGCGTTCGCGGACACCGGCGCATTAGCATATCGCCCGGGGCTGCGGCCCGTTACTCCCGGGTCCCGTTCCAAAGGGCCACTCTTTCTCACGGCTCTCTACAATTTTCGAGTTAAGTGCCTCTCTCCGATGGATTCGCAGAAATGCATACTGTATCATAGATTGTAACTGCTCTTGATGCAAATTCGCACATGCCAGTCTTCAGTTTTGTCGGTACCTACTTTAGACCTTCTCTTGAAATAAACCTTCGCCTCGATTTATGATGTTTTCGTCCGTTATTAAGAAATATGCAAAACAAAGGAACGTTGCCGCTTCAACTGAAGCATTGTCAGTATTGTTTGACGATATCTGACCATTGAATCTGTTGATGCAGCCCACATAGATTCGAAAACTTATATTTACACAAACCAAATACCTTAGTAATAAAGTTCCGTTGAGACTAGTCAGGTTACTCTAAGTATTTATAAATCCATTAAAACCATGTTCATATGAATACATACATCAAAAACTTCAACACTTGATCAAAAGTTATTTTAAAACGCCGTTACTCATCAACATAAGATAAATAATAAATTGAAATCATTCATAAGACCATATTAACGGTACATGAATATGCAACACTCCAGTTATTTGGAGTAGTGTTGAACATACTGACCTAACACTCGAAGAATAACCAATTATTCAGTTTATGAGCATCTGGGTGAAGTGTAACATCTGCTTTTGTTTTGACATTTATATTATGTTTTTGTATTGTAAATTATGCACGAATAATTAAGGTACTTAATAATGTTTTCCAACATCTAAATATCAATTTTAGGCCATCAACGCTATATTTTATTTCAAGATAATGTATATAATATACATTTGTAAGATCAAGGTATACTACTTATATTTTTAGATTATTTATTGTATTAATATTATTATTCCATTAGAAATAAAATTATTGAAACTACATACCTGAAAATAAATTTGGTTTCCCAAAAGAATGCACCAAAGAAAAAAACCACAAGTTATAAACGAGTGAAACAGATTAACAGAAATATCAAAATTACTATTATTCAAAAACCATAATTTTAACAAGTTTATGAAAGATCACTATAGCACTGAAAGCGAATTTGCATATTGCATGGCACTGTAATCTTTTCAAGCACTCTCCAGTTTATTTGTTATCAGTATACATACAGTGTTATCAAAGCAGAATCTAAGAGGTTATTAGCACATTTCACTATTAAGATCAGAAACCTAATTAGATTAGGTCTTCAACATCATTGAAACTAACATTTTACTACATATACAACGGTACATATAACTAGAATTAGGGAAGTATTCCAAAGCAAAAGTCATTTTATAAAAAGCTATTTTTAACCGCCGTCACAAAAAGGCGGGTGTTTATTTTATTTTAATATTATTTTATTTATATATATATATATATATATATATATATAAATAAAATAATACTGCAACTGCAATAAAACACACACACATATTTATTGCAGTCTTCAATTCAGCTATTGTTCAAATACCAATTAAAAGTTTTTTAGTTAAATTTTGGAAAGAAGTTCCTTTTCGGTGTGCACGGACTTGGTGGATGGGCGAAAAAAAGTGTATAATTTTTTCGTCACAACCGTCAGTTGTTTCGTAGCGTATTGTGTGAGATTGTGTATATATTTATACTTAGGTATTTTCATTTTGGACTTCGTTCCAATTGAGTGTTCCACGACGGCCATATTGTTTATTCATTATCATAACTAATTGATTATTCAAAGTGTATTGATATTTAAACAGCTATAGTTTTATTGCTTTATACGACCGCATAAAATATGTTGCAAGTAAGTACATAATAGAATATTAAAAACTGATATCATTATTTCCTTAATGAATTATAATGTTTTTCATATTTAATAAACCATTAATTAAACCTATTTATTTTTAAGTTAATTATTATGAAATTAAGTACATTAAAGATAAATTATCTATCAATTTCTGATCATAAGGAACATAAAATATATAGGTCTTTAGCGTACGTATGGTGACAACTTTCTATCGATTCTGTGTTCGTACTGGAGGCCTACTCTAATTCAACGAAAAACGAAATTTCAATCGAAACTTCGGACTTTTCTTGCTATGTGTCTGGTTTGTTTTTAATAATAATAATGTTCGTCGACGGAATATAGATTGAGGTGTAGATTTTCTAAGCCCACTCAAAGAAAGCTTCAATTTGATAGTTTGTTGTTCAAATTAAGTATAACCTTAAATTGGCGAAATTAGATTTCGTTTGAATTTCGTTATCGAAAGTTCGTTTCACAGAGAGAGAGTAGAGCAGATGTGGTATGTAGTCGGTTGCTGCCTTGTTGCACTGAGCTTAGACATCTAAATGTACGTAGACACTTGACTGTCGAATAAAAATAAAAACACAGTGCCCTGATAATAGGCGCTATTCTTAGAAACGTGAGTATTCGCTGTTAAGAGAGAGTAGTTATATTCAAATTATGTAATGTATTTTAAAATAGTATTGATACATTAATATACTTATACATTTATTAATTATCAATTTAATTATCTTTCATATACACACACATAAATATACATAAACACCCACAAACACACATGCAGGAAAAATTATTAACCACTATTAACCAATATAAATTTTCTCTGATGCTTAGTTTTTATTTATGCTAATGTACGTGCCTAATATTATCATGTTCTTAAATTGGTAATTTTAGGAAGAAAGTGACTCATAATACTTGGGTTAATCCTATATTTTTAGGAGTCATGGTCCTTTTTCATGATTTGTAAACTGGTATTATTCCAATAAAAAAATTTTTATTTTCTGTTAAACAAAAATAATGTTTTCATGGACAAATAAAAGTATAATATAAATTGCAAATATGAACTTAAAATATAGCTATAGTATAGGTAACTTTACAATGTGGATTTTAAAAGTTGAAATTATTATGACTAATTTTGCTTTTTGGATTTAAAATGTTTGATATTACGTTCTGGGACAAAATTCACTGACATCAGACCGATTTTCAATTGTATGGACTTGTTAATTATCTCTTTACTAGTTGCCCGCCCTCGTTTTGCATCGGTGTAGAGCTGTAGTGTAGGTAGAATATAGTATTTGTTCTGAGGCTTGTAATATACACAATGAATTACTTTATATAATTATAAACCTTGTATTTAACTGATAGTGAAAAATTTTTTGCGTACTTAAGACCCGTTGTACCGAATGCACCATTTTTTTGGTTGCGTGCAAATCTCAGGAACTAATGGTTCAGTTTGAAAAAATCATCGATGTAAAATGTTGCAAAACGGGTAAAAATATTCCATTTGCGAGCTTCCGTTGCGTGCGCTGCATAAATGATCAAAGTTACACAAAAAACATGTATGGCGGAATTGTTCCCCTTTATAAGTTCTATAATAATAATAATAATCATTTATTTCAGGCGTAGTACCCATATTACATAATAGATAAGCAAATTAAATAATTAGAATCACAATCACAATAATAATAATAAAACATGTAAATTTCAAATAATTATAATTCATTTAAATTACATAATAAACCAATTATCAATCAAATAAAATCAAAAACAAATAAAAATTAAGTCAAATAAAATCGATTACAGCAGGCAAGGATGTCAAATGTCACAAATGTCATATTTACAGCAGTCATACACAGCACTAATTATTAAATTACAATTTTTTCTTACGCGATCCATAAAGGAAGCGGCTCTTTTTCTCATTACAGCATAGAAATCATCAACCCTATTCTCCGCAAACATGCCCGACGCACTACACCGCCAGGGCAGTTTAAGCATGGCTCTAAAAGCGTTATTGAACTGCACACGTAAAGTGTGGTATGCTCTCTTTGTATAGTTTTTCCACAAGTTTTTTATAAAAAAAGTCCGCGACAGTTAAGTTTAGCTCACTATAACCTTTTTCCTCAAATTAACGCGGGAGAAACCGCAGGGAACCCTTAGTGGTGACATAACTGTAATAGTTAGACATAGTCCTATCCTCTATAAAACTTTAGGACATCACTTTGCTCTACCGCACGGTCAGCCACGGGGCTGCCTGCGTCCTAGCAGGCACGCTCCCGTGGGAGGTTGATGCCCTGGTACTGTCCCAGGTGCATCAACACCGGGTCGTGGCAAGAGAGCGGGGAGAGCGACCCTTGCGATGGGTGGAGGCACTCGCCACCCCAGCCGCTGGCCACCGGACTATCGAGGCGATTCGTCCGGTGTTGGAGGAGTGGGTAGGGCGCCAGCGGGGCACCCTCACCTACGGCCTGGTGCAGGTACTGACCGGACATGGATGCTTCGGTCACTACCTGCACCGAGTCGCCCGTCGGGAGGAGACGCCGCGGTGTCATCACTGCGCCTCTCCCGACGACACGGCCGAGCACACGTTGATCGTGTGCCCGGCCTGGCGAAATGAGCGCCGCGATCTGATCGCGGCGCTCGGC